GTAAAGCACACCAATAATCTTCAGATCCATCAAATGGCTTAAATCTCAGCGGTGAAGCTCCAGTCTATCTGCCACTGCCGGATTGCGGCCAGATTCCCCTGAAATGATGCCTGATGGGCAGAATTACTGTACGAGTGAATCCCGCAGCATTAAGTCGAGCAGGAGCGACAGAGGAGGCTGAATAACGGCATTCAGCCAGAACACTTTTGAAGATTTACATCATAATCGGCTCATAAGCATTACTGACCAGGAGCGGGCCTGAGATTTGCTTTGGAAATGTCAGAGGCGTTTTAAGAGAGATCAGTTTAAAGAGGCGCGCCGCTCGGCTGAAAAGAAAATCGCTATCAATATTCCCTGACGCCGGGCTGCAGATGGCCACGGCTCTAATTGAAATGGCTTCTGGTGTGTCTGAAAGCGGGACCTGGCCTGATACGGCCGGGTCACCCTCAGATCGCAGGCTTAGCGCTCGCGGGCTTCATCGCTGCCATCTTACCAACATTAAAGCTGCGTTTGGAAAGCCGCAAGCGCAGTACAAAAAAAAAACTCTTCACGTAGAGGCAGAATCACTGAGCGGATTCATCGTTCGGTTAAATAATGCAAACTCAAGACTGACCTCGCCGTTCACAGGCTTTTCAATTACGCTTTTCTTCCGTCCCCGCGTGGGTGTTTGCTCGAAAGCTTCTCTTCCAGAAATGAGCAACTGTTTGTGAAAATCTGTTTTGTCTTTGGAGATTGGTGAATGAGATTTTGGCGTGGAGTTTTCTTTGAACGGAGGCTGTCTGTGACCAACACAGCTGAACTCAGCACTCGACACAAAGGCGGGTCTGTCTCGGGACTGAACCGCCGCTATTGTGGAGATCTAGTGGTGTAGATTGATTAGCTAAAGGTTGTATTTGTGGAGTAAACGTGATTCAGTCATAGCAGTCATTGTGCATCTAATCAAATCAAGTAAACTTGGAATGTTTCGAGTGTGTTGTTTGAATGCAACATACTCAGCGGCCACTTTATTAGGTACACCTGTCTGCTCGTTGAGGGTGCCTATTATGCAAAAATCTCTTTTTGTTTTGAATGTGTTTTATGTACGCCGGCCACTTTATTAGGTACACCTGTTTGTTAACGCAAATTTCTAATCAGCCAATCACATGGCAGCAGCTCAATGCATTTAGGCATGCAGACATGGTCAAGACGATCTGCTGCAATTTAACCCGAGCATCAGAATGGGGAAGAAAGGAGATTTAAGTGACGTGGCATGGTTGTTGGTGCTAGACGGGCTGGTCTGAGTATTTCAGAGACTGCTAATCTACTGGGATTTTCACGCACAACCATCTTTAGGGTTTACAGAGAATGATCTGAAGAAGAGAAAAAATCCAGACGACAAATCTGCAGCAACTCATGATGCTATCATGTCAATATGGAGCAAAATCTCTGAGGAATATTTCCAGTGCCTAGTTGTATCTCTGCCATGAAGGATTAAGGCAGTTTTGAAGGCAAAAGGGGGTCCAACCCGGTACTAGTAAGGTGTACCTAATAAAGTGGCCGGTGAATGTATTTTAACGTGTCAAAACAAGAAAAATCCAGTTGTATACACTTTTTTTTAAAAACATAAATGTTTAATTTTTTTAATGACAAGTTTAACATTGTTAAAGGAATATTTATTACAGAGAAAATTACATCAATAATCAAAAATAGAGACAGTTTTTGTTAAGGATTAAGGCAGTTCTGAAAGCAAAAGAAGTTCCAACCCCATTGGTAGTAGTAAGGTGTACCTAATAAAGTGGCCGGTGAGTGTATATGTGTTGATCATTTTAATAACTTCTTTGCAAGTCATTGAATCAAAATGGTCGCATGGTGTTTGTGAGATTTACTGCAAATATGCATTTTGTTATAAATTTGGTCACCTTTGTGGAGATACATGATCCATGCCATTTCAGTTGCATCATGGTGTATTTGTATTTAACATACATTATTAACTATAAGGGTGTCTATTATGCAAAAATCTCTTTTATGTTTTGAATGTGTTTTATGAATATAACATACTCTCATCAGCCACTTTATTAGGTACACCTGTTTGTTAACGCAAGTTTCTAATCAGCCAATCACATGGCAGCAGCTCAATGCATTTATGCATGTAGACATGGTCAAGACGATCTGCTGCAGTTCAACCAGAGCATCAGAATGAGGAAGAAAGGAGATTTTAGTGACGTGGCATGGTTGTTGGTGCTAGACGGGCTGCTCTGAGTATTTCAGAGACTGCTGATCTACTGGGGTTTTCACGCACAACCATCTCTAGGGTTTACAGAGAATGATCTGAAGAAGAGAAAATATCCAGACTACAAAATTGATGGATTGATGTGTGTGTGTGTGTGTGCGTGTGGGCCTGAATAAGTGTGTGCCGATGTAAACTCATGTCTGCTGTGTTTGTCTGTGCAGGTGATCTTCGAGGCAGAGGTGACCAATGGCAGACGAGGATTTATCGCCATCGACGACATCCAGGTGCTCAGTTACCCATGCGGTGAGTCAGCTGTGTGTGTGCAGTAGTGAAGGATGCACTATCCTAAAATATGTAAAGAGTATTGCATATTCCTCACAATTTGACTTCAGGGTGTCCGCGGGATACTTACCACTGGTAAAACAAGGTTTGAGGCTAGTCAAGATTAAATTGCATGTTTGAGCTGTCTCAACTCAAAATGACTCTTAAAATACACCAGTGTCATTTTTTTGTCTGCAGGTGCACACCAGTAATATATTTTTCTAAGGCCATTTTTATAATTGTGGCTTAAATAGCCTAGTTTAACTAAGCCTTAGTCCTGGCTTAATCTAAGCCCTGTTTGTGAAACTAGGCCTGAAAGTCTTAAATTCACTGAAATATTGTGTTGTAGGTCTTAAATAATTTTAAACAGGTCAACAAATATGTATTCATGCCCGAAATACAGAACCAAATTTAAAATCATTTTAGTTTTAAACTAGTGTGGTTTTGAAATCAAGGAATGTTGTGATAACTGGGGCATTTCTTAGACTACAATAAAAACTTATAATCCTTGCATCCCTAGTTTAAAGTCACTTACATCCTCTTTCTTCCCCATTCTGATGCTCGGGAACTGCAGCAGATCGTCTTGACCATGCCTAAATGCATTGAGTTGCTGCCATGTGATTGGCTGATTAGAAATTTGCGTTAACGAGCAGTTGGACAGGTGTACCTAATAAAGTGGCCAGTGAGTGTAAGTGGCTAAGAAATAACTACATTAGATTTTTCTGGACCATTATCAAAACTCCTTAGTGTTTAGCCATGTATAAATCTTAATTTTCATGTATAATAGTCTTAAAAGGGTATTTAAAAGTGACTTGATGGAGCCTGCAGAAACCCTATATGAGCAGCATTCTCTATAATGCGCAGTGCCCTTTGTAGTGCATGTAGGGTTGAAGAGTGTGTTATTTTCAGTGTGTGATCAATAAATGATCAGAGAGTGGTGAGTAAACAGCAGCAGATCCTGCGCTCGTCTCTCATATATAATCAGCCTTTATTACTGCACTTAACACCGAGCGTTTAGAGGTCGAGTGACACACACACACACACACACACACATACACACATACATGCATACAATCTCCAGCTCTGAATGCCAGCGGTGTTCACAGCATTTGAAGTGCTGAGTGTTTGGTCATAGACAGAAGTGCTCCTGCAGGTTAGATGGTCTGGGATCAGCTTAACTCTAATAATGTAACAGGTATTGGTAATTATCCGGCAGCGCTGCGATTACTGCCACTCCAGCGGGATTATAGTCCCTCTGAAGCCTGCTAATAACGCCAGCGGAGCATCACGTCCTATTAAAATGATGCAGATGAGGAGGTTGTGTTTAGCGCTGGAGGATAATACATCCTGCGCTAAAACAGCATTACAGGAGCTTGTCTGCAAATAAAACCAAACCACAGAAATTGACAGAAATTGAGTTATTATTATTATTATTATTATTATTATTATTATTATTATTATTATTTTAATTATTATTATTAATATTATTATTTTATTGTTATTATTATTATTATTATTTTATTATTATTATTACTATTATTATTATTATTATTATTATTAATGTTGTTGTTGTTTCTATTATTATTATTGTTATTTTTTATTATTATTTTTTATTGTTGTTTTTATTATTATTGTTGTTATTATTGTTTATTATTATTATTATTGTTGTTGTTTTTATTATTATTGTTATTTTATTGTTATTATTATTATTATTATTATTATTTGTTATATATATATATTAATATTATTATTTTTATTGTTATTATTATTATTATTATTTTATTATTATTATTATTGT